TAAAAAAGCAAGACCCCTATATATGCTGTCTACAAGAGACCCACCTCAAAGCAAGGGACACATACAGACTAAAAGTGAAGGGCTGGAAAAAAATATTCCATGCAAACGGAGACCAAAAGAAAGCAGGAGTCGCAATACTCATATCAGATAAAATAGACTTTCAAATAAAGGCTGTGAAAAGAGACAAAGATGGACACTACATAATGATCAAAGGATCAATCCAAGAAGAAGATATAACAATTATAAATATATATGCACCCAACATAGGAGCACCGCAATATGTAAGGCAAACGCTAACGAGTATGAAAGAGGAAATTAATAGTAACACAATAATAGTAGGAGACTTTAATACCCCACTCACAACTATGGACAGATCAACTAAACAGAAAATGAACAAAGAAGCACAAACTTTAAAGGACACAATGGAGCAGCTAGACCTAATTGACATCTATAGGACGTTTCACCCCAAAACAATCAACTTCACCTTTTTCTCAAGTGCACACGGAACCTTCTCCAGAATAGATCACATCCTGGGCCATAAATCTAGTCTTGGTAAATTCCAAAAGATTGAAATCATTCCAGTCATCTTTTCTGACCACAGTGCAGTAATATTAGATCTTAATTACAGGAAAAAAATTATTAAAAATTCAAACATATGGAGGCTAAACAACACGCTTCTGAATAACCAACAAATCATAGAAGAAATCAAAAAAGAAATCAAAATATGCATAGAAATGAATGAAAATGAAAACACAACAACCCAAAACCTATGGGACACTGTAAAGGCAGTGCTAAGGGGAAGATTCATAGCATTACAGGCCTACCTCAAGAAACAAGAAAAAAGTCAAATAAATAACCTAACTCTACACCTAAAGCAACTAGAGGAGGAAGAAATGAAGAACCCCAGGGTTAGTAGAAGGAAAGAAATCTTAAAAATCAGGGCAGAAATAAATGCAAAAGAAACTAAAGAGATCATAGTAAAAATTAACAAAGCTAAAAGCTGGTTTTTTGAAAAAATAAACAAAATTGACAAACCATTAGCAAGACTCATTAAGAAACAAAGGGAGAAGAACCAAATTAACAAAATTAGAAACGAAAATGGAGAGATCACAACAGACAACACTGAAATACAAAGGATCATAAGAGACTACTACCAGCAGCTCTATGCCAATAAAATGGACAACTTGGAAGAAATGGACAAGTTCTTAGAGAAATATAACTTTCCAAAACTGAACCAGGAAGAAATAGAAGATCTTAACAAACCCATCGCAAGCAAGGAAATCGAAACTGTAATCAGAAACCTTCCAGCAAACAAAAGCCCAGGACCAGATGGCTTCACAGCTGAATTCTACCAAAAATTTAGAGAAGAGCTAACACCTATCTTACTCAAACTCTTCCAGAAAATTGCAGAAGAAGGTAAACTTCCAAACTCATTCTATGAGGCCACCATCACCCTAATTCCAAAACCAGACAAAGATGCCACAAAAAAAGAAAACTACAGGCCAATATCACTGATGAACATAGATGCAAAAATCCTTAACAAAATTCTAGCAAACAGAATCCAACAACATATTAAAAAAATCATACATCATGACCAAGTGGGCTTTATCCCAGGAATGCAAGGATTCTTTAATATCCGCAAATCAATCAATGTAATACACCACATTAACAAATTGAAAGATAAAAACCATATGATTATCTCAATAGATGCAGAAAAAGCCTTTGATAAAATTCAACATCCATTTATGATTAAAACTCTCCAGAAAGCAGGAATAGAAGGAACATACCTCAACATAATAAAAGCTATATATGACAAACCCACAGCAAGCATCACCCTCAATGGTGAAAAACTGAAAGCATTTCCCCTGAAATCAGGAACAAGACAAGGGTGCCCACTCTCACCACTACTATTCAACATAGTTTTGGAAGTTTTGGCCACAGCAATCAGAGCAGAAAAAGAAGTAAAAGGAATCCAGATAGGAAAAGAAGAAGTGAAACTCTCGCTGTTTGCAGATGACATGATCCTCTACATAGAAAATCCTAAAGACTCTACCAGAAAATTACTAGAGCTAATCAACGAATACAGTAAAGTTGCAGGATATAAAATTAACACACAGAAATCTCTTGCATTCCTATACACTAACAATGAGAAAACAGAAAGAGAAATTAAGGAAACAATACCATTCACCATTGCAACAAAAAGAATAAAATACTTAGGAGTATATCTACCTAAAGAAACAAAAGACCTATACATAGAAAACTATAAAACACTGATGAAAGAAATCAAAGAGGACACAAACAGATGGAGAAATATACCGTGTTCATGGATTGGAAGAATCAATATTGTCAAAATGGCTATACTACCCAAAGCGATCTACAGATTCAATGCAATCCCTATTAAACTACCAACGATATTTTTCACAGAACTAGAACGAATAATTTCACAATTTGTATGGAAATACAAAAAACCTCGAATAGCCAAAGTAATCCTGAGAAAGAAGAATGGAACTGGAGGAATCAATCTGCCTGACTTCAGACTATACTACAAAGCCACAGTCATCAAGACAGTATGGTACTGGCACAAAGACAGAAATACAGATCAATGGAACAGAATAGAAAGCCCAGAGATAAATCCACGAACCTATGGTCACCTTATCTTTGACAAAGGAGGCAAGGATATACAATGGAAAAAAGACAACCTCTTTAACAAGTGGTGCTGGGAAAACTGGTCAACCACCTGTAAAAGAATGAAACTAGAACACTTTCTAACACCATACACAAAAATAAACTCAAAATGGATTAAAGATCTAAATGTAAGACCAGAAACTATAAAACTCCTAGAGGAGAACATAGGCAAAACACTCTCCGACATAAATCACAGCAGGATCCTCTATGACCCACATCCCAGAATTTTAGAAACAAAAGCAAAAATAAACAAATAGGACCTAATGAAACTTAAAAGCTTTTGCACAACAAAGGAAACTATAAGCAAGGTGAAAAGACTGCCCTCAGATTGGGAGAAAATAATAGCAAACGAAGCAACAGACAAAGGATTAATCTCAAAAATATACAAGCAACTCCTCCAGCTCAACTCCAGAAAAATAAATGACCCAATCAAAAAATGGGCCAAAGAACTGAACAGACATTTCTCCAAGGAAGACATACAGATGGCTAACAAACACATGAAAAGATGCTCAACATCACTCATTATCAGAGAAATGCAAATCAAAACCACAATGAGGTACCATTACACACCAGTCAGGATGGCTGCTATCCAAAAATCTACAAGCAATAAATGCTGGAGAGGGTGTGGAGAAAAGGGAACCCTCTTACACTGTTGGTGGGAATGCAAATTAGTACAGCCACTATGGAAAACAGTGTGGAGATTTCTTAAAAAGCTGGAAATAGAACTGCCATATGACCCAGCAATCCCACTTCTGGGCATACACACCGAGGAAACCAGATCTGAAAGAGACACGTGTACCCCAATGTTCATCGCAGCACTGTTTATAATAGCCAGGACATGGAAGCAACCTAGATGCCCATCAGCAGATGAATGGATGAGGAAGCTGTGGTACATATACACCATGGAATATTACTCAGCCATTAAAAAGAATTCATTTGAATCAGTTCTAATGAGATGGATGAAACTGGAGCCCATTATACAGAGTGAAGTAAGCCAGAAAGATAAAGACCATTACAGTATACTAACACATATATATGGAATTTAGAAAGATGGTAACGATAACTCTATGTGCAAAACAGAAAAAGAGACTCCTATGTATAGAACAGACTTGTGGACTCTGGGAGAAGGCGAGGGTGGGATGTTTCAAGAGAACAGCATTGAAACACGTATATTATCTAGGGTGAAACAGTTCACCAGCCCAGGTTGGGTGCATGAGACAAGTGCTCGGGCCTGGTGCACTGGGAAGACCCAGAGGGATTGGGTGGAGAGGGAGGTGGGAGGGGGGACCGGGATGGGGAATACATGTAAAAAAAAAAAAAAAAAAAAAAGATACACTATGGTTGTGATAAAATAAATAAATAAATAAATTAAAAAAAAAAAAAAAAAGAAAGAATAGAAAAATTAGAATAAAAAAATGAGGACAAATTTTAGAAATATTTACTATTAGTAAGTTTTCTCATCAAGAGAGTGAAAATGCTAGGGATTCAGAGGCAGGAGAAATCTTTGAGGAGGTTAACAGGAAAATGGATCTTTGTTGTTGTTCAGGTGCTAAATTGTGTCTGAGTCTTTGCGACTCCATGGACTACACGGATCTTTAATTGTGAGAAATAATCTTAAAAGAAAAATTTAAGGGGATGAGAAAAGAGCATTCCAGATATTGGGAACAATAAAGGTACAGAGCTAGAAATATGCACATGTTGCCAACAAAGAAACTAATCAATTCGGTTAGTAAATAAAAGAGGAGGTAGGTAAACAGGATGGAAAAGTACGTCAGAATTATATGAAGGGTGCTGAATGCCAATATGAGGAACCCAGAATTATTTTAGAGGACAATGGTATAGCATTCTTAGAAACAGAGTTAAGAAAAAAAAATACATTCTAAAAGATGCTGCGCTTTAGAGACCCTTTCTTTCAAGGATACTTTATAGTATTCAAAAACTGACAAACTTTTAGTGGGCAAGAGTAATTCAAAAGCATTGAGCCCAGATTAAGTTAACACCTCATCATCCTAATACAGCTGCATGTTTAAGTGAGCACTACATTTCTTTTTTTTTCAATTGACTGAATCTTGACTATTTATTTATTTATGACCACTTCACGTGGCATACAGGACCTTAGTTCTCCAAGAAGGGATCAAATCCAGACCCTCTGCATTGGGAGAGAGGAGTTTGAACCACCGGACTGCTAGGGAAGTCCTGAGAGCACTAACATTTCTAATTATGATCTTCAATTATGAAACTATTTAATTGGAAACTTCATGAGTGAGGTAACTGTGGAAAAGTATAATGAGTTCTAAATGCTCTTTTATACTCACCTCAAGAGAAACAAGACCAGACACATCCTCAGGGATCTTTGTGAGCTGATTAGTAGCTAAATTCAATTCTACCATACTGGTCCAAGTTCCAAAATCCAAGGGAAGTGATGTCAACTGATTGTCCTGACAGAGACAAAACGAAGCATTCAAGGTAAAACCACAAAAATAAAGCTCCATATATAACTCCCTATAGAAAGAGAATTCTTAAACAGAAAAAGACATTCCCTTTTTAAAATATCGAAATATAGAAAGAAAAAATAAGGAACAAAAACGCGCAGCCTCCAAAGTTTTCCATACAGTAAAGTTCAGTCGCTAAGTCGTGTCCGACTCTTTGTGACGCCATGGACTACAGCACGTCAGGCTTCCCTGTCCATCATCAACCCTGGAGCTTGCTCAAAATAATGTCCATCGAGCAGGTGATGCCATCCAACCATTTCATTATCTGTCGCCTCCTTCTCCTCCTGCCTTCAATCGTTCCCAGCATCAGGGTCTTTTCCACGGAGTCAGTTTTTCACATCAGGTGGCCGAAGTATTGGAGTTTCAGCTTCAGCATCAATCCTTCCAATGAATATTCAGCACTGATTTCCTTTAGGATAGACTGGTTGGATCTCCTTGCAGTCCAAGGGACTCTCAAGAGTCTTCTCCAACACCACAGCTCAAAAGCATGAATTCTTCGGCACTCAGCTTTCTTTATAGTCCAACTCTCACATCCATATACATGACTACTGGAAAAACCATAGATTTGATTAAACAGACCTTTGTAGGCAAAGTAAGGTCTCTGCTTTTTAATATGCTGTCTAGGTTGGTTATAGCTTTTCTTCCAAGGAGCGCCTCCTAATTTCATGGCTGCAGTCACCATCTGGGGTAATTCTGGAGCCCAAAGTAATAAACTCTCTCACTATTTCCATTGTTTCCCCATCTACTTGTCATGAAGTGATGCAACCAGATGCCATGATCTTCATTTTCTGAATGTTGAGTTTTAAGGCAGCTTCTTCTCTCTCCTCTTTCACTTTCATCAAGAGGCTCTTTAGTTCTTCTTCCCTTTCTGACATAAGGGCGGTGTCATCTGCATATCTGAGGCTACTGATATTTCTCCTGGCAATCTTGATTCAGCTTGTGCTTCATCCAGCCTGGCATTTCTCATGATGTACTCTGCATATAAGTTATATAAGCAGGGTGACAATATACAGCTTTGACATACTGCTTTCCCAATTTGTATCCAGTCTGTTGTTCCATGTCCGGTTCTAACTGTTGCTTCTTGACCTGCATACAGATTTCTCAGAAGGCAGGTTAGGTGGTCTAGTATTCCCATCTCTAGAAGAATTTTCCACAGTTTGTTGTGACCCACACAAAGGCTTACGTCAAAGGCTTTGGTGTAATAAATCAAGCAGAAGTAGATGTTTTTCTGGTATTCTCTTGCTTTTTCAATGATTTAATAGATGTTGGCAGTTTGATCTCTGATTCCTCTGCCTTTTCTAAATCCAGCTTGAACATCTGGAAGTCCATGGTTCACTTACTGTTGAAACCTGGCTTGGAGAATTTTGAGCATTACTTTGTTAACATGTGAGATGAGTGCAACTGTGCAGTACTTTGAACATTCTTTGGCATTGCCTTTCTTTGGGATTGGAATGAAAATTGACCTTTCCAGTCCTGTGGTCACTGCTGAGTTTTCCAAATTTGCTGGCATATTGAGGGCAGCACTTTCACAGCATCATCTTTCAGGATTTGAAATAGCTCAACTGGAATTCTATCACCTCCACTAGCTTTGTTCATAGTGATGCTTCCTAAGGCCCACCTGACGTAACATTCCAGGATGTCTGGCTCTAGCTGAGTGTGAGTAGTCACACCATCGTGATTATCTGGGTTGTGAAGATCTTTTTTGTACCGTTCTTTGGTGTATTCTTGCCATCTCTTCTTAATATCTTCTGCTTCTGTTAGGTCCATACCATTTCTGTCCTTTATTGAGCCCATCTTTGCATGAAATGTTCCCTTGGTATCTCTATATTTTCTTGAAGAGCTCTCTAGTCTTTCCCATTCTATTGCTTTCCTCTATTTCTGTGCAATGATTGCTGAAGAAGGCTTTCTTATCTCTCCTTGCTATTCTTTGGAACTCTGCATTCAAATGGGTATATCTTTCCTTTTCTCCTTTGCTTTTCGCTTCTCTTCTTTTTACAGCTATTTGTAAGGCATCCTCAGACAGCCATTTTGCCTTTTTGCCTTTCTTTTTCTTGGGGATGGTCTTGATCCCTGTCTCCTGTATAATGTCACGAACCTCCATCCATAATTCATCAGGCACTCTATCAAATCTAGTCCCTTAAATCTATTTCTCACTTCTACTGTATAGTCATAAGGGATTTGGTTTAGGCCATACCTGAATGGTCCAGTGGTTTTCTCTACTTTCTTCAAGTTAAATCTGAATTTGGCAATAAGGAGTTCATGATCTGAGCCACAGTCAGCTCCTGGTCTTGTTTTTGATGACTGTATACAGCTTCTCCATCTTTGACTGCAAAGAATACAATCAATCTGATTTCGGTGTTGACCATCTGGTGATGTCCACGTGTACAGTCTTCTCTTGTGATGTTGGAAGAGGGTATTTGCTATGACCAGTGGGTTCTCTTGGCAAAACTCTATTAGCCTTCGCCCTGCTTCATTCTGTACTCCAAGGCCAAATTTGCCTGTTACTCCAGGTGTTTTTGACTTCCTACTTTTGCATTCCAAGTCTATGCCCCAACCAGTAACACTGAAGAAGCTGAAGTTGAACAGTTTTATGGAGACCTACAAGACCTTTTAGAACTAACACTCAAAAAAAGATGTCCTTTTCATTAGAGGGGACTGGAATGCAAAAGCAGGAAGTCAAGAAAAAAAAGTTTGTTCACTACAAATTACATCAGTGGACAAATCATTTTTCATTTCTTTCTTCCTTCTACAATAAAATTTATTTTCCTTACTACAAATGAGATTCATTCATTGTAGAGAATACAGACAAGCAATAAGAAACTAAAAATCACCCACTGGGAGAAAATATTTGCAAATCATATAACTGACAAAGCATTAACATCCAAAATATATAAAGAACTCCTGCAACTCAACAGTAAAAAAGAAAACCCCAAACAATCCAATTAAAAAATGAGCACAGCATCAGGAAGAAACAATTGCCCATTCTGATAAATCATAAATACACTAAAAGTACTAGTTAAAGTAGTGATTTTCCCCTAATACAAATAGAGGCTTACCTTCATATTCAGCTTACTTAATACTTTTGCTCTGGAGAAAATTCCAAATGGGATTTTGTTGATTCGATTGTGTTCCATGTTGAGGGAATAGATAGTGGAAAATTGAGATGGACCACCTACTGGATATAACTGGAAGCAATTTCTAGCTAAGGTCAAACTATTCAGTTTCACAAGACTTGATAAAAGACTCTGTTAAAAAGAAAAAATGAAATAAGCATAAGAATTACAACTATAACAAGACTTATTCTGTAGAACATAGAGCAGCAGTACCAAATGCCTGGGAGAGTCTTGCAGGTAACAAATGACAGAGACTGGTTGGGCCGGTTCTGTAATGCCTCATCCAGAAGGAAAGTCACTCACTACTCAGCTCTAGCTAATTGTTACCTTGCAGGGATGTGCAGTCAATGTAGTCAGATTTTCAGAATTTAGCAAGAAACAGGAAATTCATTTACTTATATTAAATCTCCTTTTATTCTTTGGCTTTATTTAAAATACTCTACAGGGTAAAGATAACATATCTGTGGGTAAGAGGTGTTTCATGAGTGGCCAGTTTGAGACCTCTCATACAAGACCTTAGAGAGGACTGGTATTAGACAGTCCTGAGTTTGAGTCCTGACTCTGTTACCTGCTGTGTAATCAGTGCTATCCAAGTCTTAGTTAAATATCTATCTCTAAATTATTATTAAGATTAATATAATACCTGACACAGAATAAGGTATCATTCAGTAACTTAAATGTTCCTTTTAGGAATATTAAATTCAGAAGATAATAATACTTTTTGATATTATATAATACATTGCTTTTCCATACTGTAAATTTCTGAGAGAATATACATCTATCAAACAAGTATTCACTTAGCACATAACCCCATATGCCCTCTTACTTCAGTCTCCCACCAGGTAACCACAGTGCTAGGTGTTTAGTATTATAAAAGGATCTCTAACATCAAGACTAAATTCCATTTAGAGAAATAAAGCCAAAAAAAAAAAAAAAGAAATAAAGCACACAGATAGGAAAAAGAAAATAATATACAACTCTATATAATCAATAATAAATTATACAGAATAGGCTTTTGCTATTCAAATTCTGGCTCAAGGAAGAGCAGCATCTGTATCCCCAGAGAGCTTGTTAGAAATGTGGACTCTTAGGCCCCACCCCCACAGAATCATATTTTGAATCTTAAGATTTCCAGGTGACCTGTAGGCTCATTAATGTTTGAGAAACACTGGTTCAGGCTATAAAATAGTTTTAAATCCTGGCCCCATCTTTTAGTAGTTCGTGACTTTGAGCAAGTTATCTCCCTGAACTTTTGTTCTATTCATTTGTAAGAGAATGATGTCTTGTTTTATAAGTTGTAATAAACATTTTTTAAATAAATAAATATATATATATATGTAAGTAACTTTATAAGTCACTTCTTTATTTAAATTCAGAGCAAAGGAGAAATACTGGAATAACTGGAAAAGCAGAAGACAGTTGAAAGTGAGTCAAATCTTAAAGGATGAAAAACCATTTTAAATACTCAGAAAAGCAGAAGAAAACACTCTGGATTGCTGTAAGGCAGCTCTCCAACCTTTCCATTCTAAGGTCATACTGTGAAGCTTTGGGGTTGCTGCTCATTGCTGCAGAGTCAAACACATCTGGGTTCCCATCTCAGATCTTCTACTTATCAGCCAGGTGAGCTTCAGTGAATTAATTAGTCAATATATCTCTCACTATATTCCCAGAAAAAATATTTCAGGGTTACACATTTGGCCAAAAACATGACTTCTCAAGTCTTATTTCGCTATTTGATGAGACCACTCCAATAACCAGTAGGATCACAGTGAAGATATAAATGAAACAATACATGAAAAGCTTCCAGCCTGATGCCTTGAGTATATGTGCTTAAACTTATTAAGTTCCTTCTCCTTTCGTCTTTAGGCATCCATTAAAACGAGTCCATTTTCAGACAGTCTTCAAACGGCAAAGTATATAGTGATTTTGCCAGCTCTGATTTCAGCAATATAATGAGCCCCCTTTGAAAACCACTTTCCCAATTTTTCCTGCCAGCTTGAACATCTAAGTGCTGTTTAATGGGTTTTATTGTTTTTCTTGTTATTATAAATGCAGATAATTACACATTTGCATTAAGAACATGCTACTTCCAGAGCACATAGATTAAATAAAACGTAATGCTTTCCAAAGTTTGAACAAGGCCTATCAAGGATTTCATCCATACTTCTCTATCTGAAAATGGGCATGTTTAAATACACACACACACCCCTTCTTCCACAGACAGACTGAAGAGAGCTGTCTTCTTTATTATTCTCTTATCAAAAATAAATCCTGACTTATTTCAGTCACAAAGTTATATGAAAATACTCAGCACATGTCTTTATCCTAAGATACCCAATAATTAAGTTTCCCTTCAGTGACAACATGACTGGATATATAAATAAATATAAAATTTCTCACTAGGTGAAACTTGGTATATACCTGGTCTTTACATTTAGACATAATGACATTGTAAAAGTAGTCAGTCTTACTTAAACTCATAAATCACACCCTAAAAGAATGCCAACAAGATCTAATTAATGTGTTAATTAGTTGCCTTATTATGGGATAGGAATCACTGTTAGAAAAGTGGATGACATTAAACGGTAGAACTTCACCCATTTTGAAGTGAAGAATTACCATTATCACAGAAATTAAAAAACCCAAACAGTCTAGCTGTCAGGGCTATATCTACAATCTGTGGATTCTATTCCTAATCCCAAATTACTACTTACTACCAACAACAGTGCTCTTTTGTCACAGGTGAGATACTGTCACAGTAGTTTTAGTGAACTGGTCCAGACTAGAAACTATACAAGATATTTTTAATTATTAGAAAAAAAAAAAGACTTTGCAAAGTTCAGTCAATCCATTAAGTCCAAAATTCCACTCATGTTAGAATACTACAGTAAAATATGCTTGAATAACTACAAGTAAACTTACTAGCTGCTGGGTATGCTATAACAGTAGGTAGCAAAAGAAGGAATGGCAAGAGTAAAAAATAATAAAGAAAGACAATTTAGAAAAGAATATTGCATCTTGTCCAATTAATCTCTAAGCAAAATAAGTGAAAATATTTTTCTAATAGAACCAACGAAACCCAAATAAAAAATAGTGTGGTAAAAAGTAACAGATTCTCGTGACTGGTATATGCTAAATGGGCTTAATATTATTGTATAAGCAGAGCAATAATTTGGGTCACAGCAATGTTGCAACTCATACTAATCTCAATAATAAGTAGTACTAAGTAATAAGTAGATCTAAGTAGCCATTCTTTTACTATCTTTCCACAGTAAGTTTTTTTTTTTTTTAAGTAACTGAACTGGGGTACTAGGGTAGTTGAGTTTTACATCAGCCCTACAACTTCTTAATAGCTTTTATATCAAGTCCCAAATGACATAAGAAAGATTTACATGGACTTCCCTGGTGGCTCAGATGGTAAAGCATCTGACTACAATGAGGGAGACCCGGGTTCAATCCCTGGGTTGGGAAGATCTCCTGGAGAAGGAAATGGCAACCCACTCCAATATTCTTCCCTGGAAAATCCCATGGACGAAAGAGCCTGGTAGACTACAGTCCATGGGGTCACAAAGAGTGGGACAAGACTGAACGACTTCACTTTCACTAAAGAGAAAGTAGCACACCGATTTTTCACCTTGATTTTTGTTCCGATAATCATACCTACTCTTTCTTTTTTGGAATTTTTTATCTCAGTGATGGGATATGTATCCACAGCATACCCGTTATTTAAGCAATCTCAATCATCAAATTATTTACCAAGCTGTAAAGACTGATTAATCTTCCCTTCATTATCTTACAGACTCGTTTCAAGAGCTTACCATAATTCACTTCTTACCTCTGGTAAAGTAGAAATGTTATTGTTCTCTAAATTTAATTCTTCAAGTGCACTGCATTTTGCCAATGATCTGGGTATTGCTGACAGTCTGTTATATCTCAGACCAAGACGGCTTAAACTGGACAGATTTCCTGTGAACATAAAAAAAAAAAGGAATTTTTTTTTTTTAATCTGGTAAGCCTGTTACTCTTTCAGGCTATCAAGCAATATTTATGTATTACTTTTAAGTACTATTTCAACAAGATCCTTAACTTTTTGTACCAAGAAACTACACACTACACTCTACCAATTAGGATGAAACTGAAGCCACTTTTGTGCCCACCGTCTTAGAGAAATAATGAATTACACAGCTGCAAGTCAATTTTTAAAATCAATTATTGGAAAGTACTGGCACACTTAAATAAATATTAACCTTTAGACAAGGCCCAGTTAAATAACATCAAAGTAATAAATGATAATTACTTAAAATACAAGATGCACAATTATTTTGTGAGATCAGAAAGGTTCAATATTTTTTACGAGTTAAATATAAACAATCCAAAATTTCTCTAAAAAGTTGATGATGGTTAAAAATTTCTCAAAATAAATTTTTATAAACAAAAGTGAAAGCTATAGGCTCTCATTATCTAAGCATATCCAGCTTGAGCATATTAGTCACTATTGAATACCTAAAATAAGCAGAGCAGAAAAACAGACATTTTATATATACTTCTATAGCCAAGACCCATGGTAAGCTACATGGATGAATGTGATAATATCTGCTATCACAGGTTTAAATCAAATTTAATTTTAAAAACAATATAAATTCATTTTAATACCAAAAAAGGTAAGAGTAATGAGAATTTAGTTCAATGTATTTTTTTATCATGGCTGGTTAATTTCTGATTCAACAATGCAATTGTTGCTACAACCTTTTTAGTTGGGCTAGGTTAAATATTAGCCTCTAGTTTTAAACAGTATTACCAGTATTAGAAATTAAAAGGATACCTCATTTTATTATACTTTTCTTTATTGTGCTTCACTGATACTGTGTGTTTACACATCAAAGGTTTGTGGCAACCCTGCTTTGAACAGGGTTGTGCCATTTTTCACAAAAGCATTTGCTCACTTAATGTCTCTGTGTCACATTTTAGTAATTCTCACTATATTTCAAACTTTTATGTTGTTATTATACTTGTTTTGGAGATCTATGATCAGTGATCTTGGATGTTACTAGTGTAATTGTTTTGGGGTGCCATGAACTGCACTTATTTAAGATGGTGAACTTAATTGATAAATGCTATGTATATGCTTTATGCTCCACCAAACAGTTGCTTCCCTGTCTCTCTCCCTCTCTCCTGAAATACAACAATATTGAAATTAAGCCAATAATGACCCTACAGTGACTTCTAACCACGTCAAAGTTAGAATTACGTCTTTCACTTTAAATCAAGAGCCAGAAATAACTGAAGGAAATCAAAAGAGCTAGTCTATAACCTGAATGATACTTTATCAATAAAGTATTTTTAATTAAGGCATGTATAGTTTTTAGACAAAATGGTACTGCACACTTTAACTACAGTACTTTGTAACATAACTTTTATATACACTGGGAAACAAAAAATTTGTGTGACACTTTATTGTGATACTTGCTTTGTTGAAGTGGTCTGAGATCAATCGACAATATCTCCAAAGTAGGCCTGTATAGAAGTGGACGCCTGTGTCACACATTTTGGAGATAAATATTTTGGTGCCTTTCAACTTTCAGCAACTGTCTGATGTTTGTCAATTTCTTTCAAATTTCTGCTTTGACTATTTTTCAGAAAGTCATTGTATGAATAACTTTCTTAGATACAACATTACTCCAATACTTGCAGAAAACATGTATTAACCTACAGAATAAGTTAAGCCTTAAAACCTAGCAGAGCAGTCACCTTGTCTCATATTCCTCATCTAGTTATATTCATTTGCATCTTTCTCTCTTGCTGAAGAAAATAGTGATCAAAGTTTTAAGAAATGCCTAAATGGAGCTAATTTTTACCCTTTACATTTTTAAGAGTTAGTTACTGATGTCAAAAATACTCTGGTAAGTCTATATACCGTAAGTCTAGCCAACTACAGTGCAAAAAACCCTTAGCAATCATTTCAATTCCTGCAATTAGAACTATTACAGAGGTACAGTATACTCATTTTCATTACTTTCTTATAACAGTGTTTGGAAACTGGGTTAAGAGTTCGCTAGTTATGATTAACTAAGACTCCAACAGGCAGAAAACTGAATTAAAAAGCAACAGTAAAAACGACCACTTAGAAAAGACAAATTAACTTTGTCTTTAAAGTGCTTCCCAAATTAAATAAGGACGCTTCACTAGCGTCTTTCTAATGACACTCCAGGGATATGTGTCAATTTCGGAGGTGGGGGGGAAACAAGCAGAGAACTGGATCACTTTCCAAAGTTTCAGAGATTAAAATTAAGTGCAAGAACATTATTATTTCTATCAGTGAACTATGACATTGTAGTGCTAGTCGCTCAGTCATGTCTGACTCTCTGCGACCCCATGGATTGCAGCCCACCAGGCTCCTCTGTCCAGGCAAGAATACTGGAGTGGGCTGCCATTCCTTTCTCCACTATGACATTAAATATGATACAAATGTTACTTGGAAGTTGGGTTGGCAAAAAATAATCTGCTTTATGATGAAATTATAGTCAAGTTTCTAATAGCAAAAAATGGAGACAACCTATATGTTCAAGAATTGATGCATAATTATTTAGATTGAAGGCATCACAGTGTAATAGCAAAAACAAGGGATATTCTATATCTACGTGTCCCTGGGTAAGTTACTTAACTAAGTCTATCTCCTCACCCATAAAGTGGGGATAATGTCAAATATCTGACAGGGTTGCTCTAAGAATTAAATACAATGTGTGTAAGATACTTAGTACGATGACTGATACAAAATAGATATTCAAAAGATAATTTTATTCTATGGTACAACTAGAGTCTGCTATATCCTGTACCTATTAAAATTATTATACAAAAAAATCTTTTAAGATATGAAAGACTGTTATGACATTAAATGAAAAAAGTCAGATAACAAAATAATGTGTTTTGTATGATCTGTATGATTACATACACATGCCAAGAGTTTAAGTTATCTCTACATGACAGAAATACAGATTAAATTTTTTTCTTTGAACTTGTCTAGAATTTCCCTAATTTCCTATAATTTTTAAATTTTAAAATGTCCTTTTGATAAAGAAAAACTCTATAATTCTGAAGTCATTTTAATTTTAAAAACTGACATCTTTGTACCATCCGTTTATTGAATGAATAGTTTACATTATGGAGAAGCTTTATATTAACACAGAGTTAAGATGTTTGGACACTTTACACTGTGAGGCTCATTTTCTCCATACAGTGAGGATATGAGCTAAGCTGTGGAAAACAGAGCATGGTGGTTTGAGTTTCAGATAGCCAATCCCCCCCTAAAAAAGACAAGAGATAAAAAAGACAGCCAAGCACACCAGTAAGAGCCCCTGAGAGCACTCAGCACTGACTTGAGCGTAAGGCACGTGCAGCGACTTAATGGCAGAACCAGACTCAAACTCAACCGGCTCCTTATCAAGTAATCGTTTTTTTTGTGAATTTTATGGACCCTGATCCACTGAACTTGTTTGCTCCTGACACAGAAGCATGATATGTTCATTCTTGCCTCCATGCTATTTGACTGTCCTTGCTGTTTGGCTCATGGAGTGCATTTTTATTCCACACTAAGTCCAGCATATTTGTTCATGAAGTTTTCTCTGGCCATTCTATCAAGGTCTTCTTGCTCTCCCTATAAACTGGCCACGTGGCCACACGCTGTTTCCATCTTACTTAGAGCCTACGCTGTCAACTGTCTCACGGATTAGTTACTTCCCCCAACAGACCGAACATCCTTCAAGTAAGGGAGCCTGCTATGCACTTCTACTGAAACTGGCACAGAATTTCAGTGCAAAGCACACACCAGGCTTTCATTCATGCTTTCTTATTAATTAAAGGTGCTCAAATATTTCACGATTTGTCCTCCTTTCCATTAGGAACAAGATGCAAAAACTCAAAATTATATGAGAGACTCATTAAAAGCTTTTTTCTTTGATCCATTCTCAACTTATAAAACAGCATGTCTGCAAAACACAGATGTTAACTGGACATGATTTTAAAATACATAACAGATTTGCCTGGTCTACCTGACTAAAAATTAGTTCTTCTAAAAATATTCACTTTAATTTTTCCTGGGATACCCAATGACTAAGCAGCCCATTTTTAGATATCAGAGAATGAACTAACCATTGCACTCCTCTTATCCCACCAAATAAATTTTCAATTACAAAATATGTAACTTACTTTATTCCCCAGAAAACCATGGTGTGTAATCCAATATGTACCTATTGAGATCCTTCTCTTAAGTTTTTACTTATACATATACAAATACAGGATTTTTTTAAATGCTTCTGTGTTTGTCTTTATATAAATGGGATCATTTTGCACACTTTTCCTCCTAAATAACAGGTCATAGAAATATTTTCCTGTTGAGTAAATACAGATATACTTCATTTTATTTAACTATTGTATTCTATGATATGTGTAATCATACCATTGGGTGAACTCTGGGAGTTGGTGATGGACAAGGAGGCCTGGTATGCTGCAGTTCACAGGGTGGCAAAGAGTCAGACACGACTGAGCAACTGAACTGAACTGAACTGAATCATCCCCCAATGGAGAGCATTTGTTTCTAATATTTAAAAAAGGAATTCTATAATGAACATCCTAATAGATATCTGTGTGTACATGTGAAAATATTTCAGATGTATCGAAAGATAGCGATATCTTAAATCTTAACAGATAGTGCCATTAGGCAGTATCAATTTCATTCCCACCAAATCTGAAGGAGAGTCCCCATTAACTCACATCCATTCAAAATGGGGAAGGAGGGAGGGTATCAGTATTTTATTCCTTGCCTATCCCATGTCCATGGCCACAAGAAGACTGGTAAAGAGATAGAAATTTTCCCATAAGCAGTGGTAATGTCTGAGTACAAAGAATTTCAAAAATCTTCTGATAAAATTTTAATTTGCTATGCCAAGTTGAAGATAAAAAAGGCATTCAAT